GTCCTGTCCTCACTCCCCTTTCCCGCCAGGTGACAAAGCCTTCGCCCAGTTCCTGACGGATGAGATCAAAGAGGAGAAGAAGATCCAGAAACACAAATCCCTGCCCAAGGTCTCCGGCGGGTGGGAGCTGGAGGTGCACGGCACCGAGGCCAAGCTGGTGCGGAAGATCGCCGGGGAGAGGTAAGGGCGGGCTGCGGCAGGGCTCACCCTGCGCCTGAGGGCCAGCAGGTAACGGGAGCCAGATTCCTCCTTGTGCTCGCCCTACTTCTGTTGCTATCTGGCCGCTCTATGCAAACGGGACGTTGCAGAGGCTCTTTATTTTACCACCTTGAGTCAAAGGCACCTTCTTTTTTTTTTTTTTTTTTTTTTTTTAAACAAGTTTGCTACTGTATTGCGTGTTACAATGTTTCTTGCCATCTTCCTGCATTAAAAATAACAGTTAAGTCCAGAAAAACTTAGAATCATAGAATCGTTTAGGTCGGAAAAGACCTTTGAGATCAAGTCCAACCATTAAGTCCAACCGCCAAGTCTCACGCTGTTCGTGAGAGCAGCTGGAGGAAGCCAGCTTCACTCAGGTGTGTGTCTTAAACTGCAATACCTGGTTTGGTTCTCGGTGCGTGAATTCAACAGCAGCAACGCTGTCCCCACCACAGAAGCTTCCAATAGAAGATATTTTGATGGGTATTTTTTGAGTGTGTTCGAAGTAACTGCTTCTCTTTCTTTTGAAGGATAACAGTCACGTTCAACATCAATAACAGCATTCCACCCTCAGTTGATGAAGAAACACAAGAAGACCAGAAACCCGATGAGCAGGAGGTAACTTAGTCTTGATGTGCACTTCAGTGATGGGTACGCAGAGGGAAGTTAGAACCTTGCCCTCAAGTGTTAAGGTTTTTTTTCCCCTCTCACTTGATATTTGGGAGCATTAAGTTGCAAAATGCAGATTTTTCTGGGTTGGCTGTGACCCTCCTCTCTGCAGCAAAAAGGCAGAGCAGGGTGAGAGGGCTCTATGAGGAGAAATGCAAGGAACTCTGATATCTCTTGCCTTTGCAACCCCCTGCAATCAGTACTGCCTTTTGTACTTCGCTAGCGTAACTCACGGTGCTGGCAGGCAGTGTCAGTGAAACGCAAAGCTATTCACATGGCTTCACTTGCCTGGTGTTGTTGGTCAGAAGCATCTCACTCCTATTTAATAAGACTTGGTAAAAATACTGGTAAAAACTGTAAATGAGCAATATAATTTGAGGCAGATGGCTTCATCTGCAGTGACACTGATGCCAAACGAGTCAGGAATGCAGCTGCTCTGTTTGTAGCAGTTAACTTGCGCTTTCTGCGTGGTGGTGTTTATTCCAGCGCGCTGCACTCGGCTGGGTGGGACAATACTGGGGACACTTGTGCGGTGCTTCCCTCCCCGGGTGTGTCTCTATCCGCTGAGAAATCACAGTGCGCTTGGTCTGTGCACGCGTCCGCGTTGATGGCGGTCCCTGTGCCCTGCCAAGTTTCCTCCATGAAGGAGAGCAGCTCCTGCGTCAAAACAGTCTGAGTCTGTTCCCAGCTCCTGTCACTTTGGCGGGACCCATCCAGGTGAGCCACAGGCTCGCTGGGTTGTCGGGG